ACAAGAGACTATGATGACATGACACGGTGGTTATCAAAACTGTACAATGAAGCATTTCCACAAGTCTCTGAAATACTGAGCATAGTATGGAATACAAATGGGGTGTTCAGACTGGCCACAGGTTTTAGCAGGTAAATTTCTCACTTTTTTTTTTTAAACTGATATTTGGATCTTTTTATTTAAAGGTGAGAATACGGCATTTGAAACTAGTAGGAACACGGCAGCGAAAATCTGGTAATTCCACGAACAACCCCATGAATGACAAACAAATAAACAAACAACAAGGCAGAACAGTCACCTCACAGGAAGAGCTGTCAGCACAACCAACAGCCCCATCTTCCTGTGAAGCATGAGGTAGATAAACATAACAAAGACTGGTACACACATCAGAGAAGTTGTTACAAACGGGCAGGGGGGAAGTTTACAATCATCAACATGTACAGACATTTTGCAAAAGCCATTTCCATGTGAAAAATGCCACAAAAATAGCCAAACAGAAAGCTCTGACTTCTTGAAACATTGAAATAATGTCAACATCAAATACTGTAAAAGATTAAGATTAGTGATTAGACAATGCCTGACACAACAAAGAATCTACTTGAGAGTTTAAGTATTTTAATAATAGCTTTTACAGTTAGAAGGTATCTCTTCTGAAGCCAAATCCTTCCATTCTTTGGAGTCAATTGGATTACCCAGAAATTTACCACTGTGAAGAGACCCAGCACCAAACAAGTCCCTCCTAAGTCCCGTTTCAAAGGCCGATGCTGAGACATCAATAGGACAGAAGTGTCTTGCTGGTTTTCACACCTGGTATTTTGTCCCATAAAAGTAAGTGTGGCAAGATTAGATAGACCGCTTCAGAACTGGTGGCTTTGCAGTTAAACAGTCAGTAACTTACCACACCTAATATCAAAACTTGCTGTGGATAGGAATGGCTGTTACAAAAGCAGAGCTTACAAACACATTGGTACTGTAAACTGCAGACAGCTCAATAGCTGCTGGTTAAGAAATACACATTTTTGTAATAAAGCTATCAACTGGGAATGCCAAGTTTTAGTTCTGGCTATTTAAGCAGAAATGGCTGTCCCATCTGCTAAATAATTACATATGTTTTTGGTAATTTCCAATAGAAAATTCATTAAAATTTTTGAATTAAACAGCTGAGTACACCAAGTTTAGTTAATTTAAACTGTGTTTAAAAACACAAGCCAATAAAATTGAATCTTCGATCTTCATGTATTTTTGGTTTATCCAGCAGTAAATATAAATCTGTAAGTTATTTAAAAATTAGAGTTTTTTTAATAAAAACATTGATAATGCAGCATGTTTCTCTCAAAAATATACAGTTAGCTATTTTACATAAAAGTTTTAAATTTGACCATCTCAAGAACAGAATCTAATATTCCTATGAGAAACTACTTAATAAAATATCTGAGGAAGGAGAGGGTTAAAACAGGGAGAAGAATTTACAAAATATGTAAATTTCACAGTAACTGAAATTAAACATTTCATATAGAGTAACTTACATTTGTCTAAAACATTTAAATATATCTTTATACACAAATTTAATGTAGTAAAATATAGCTATGATTGAATTTAAAGACTCTAGTCTTCTTTGAAGACATCTTTAAAGATTTTACACATAGAATATGCTTATACAATACATTCTGCTGAAGGTTAGGCAAAGCGCTTTCTTTCCAACCACACAGGTAGCATGTTCATTCTCCTGACACCTCATAACGCAACCAATCCTCTATCCTCTTGTGCATGAGGATAGCTATGCTTATGAGACAGTTTCTGTTGATGTTAACAGGTCTGTTCCATGGGCCTGCTAACATAAAACACTTTTATTGTGCTCAACTGTATACATCAGTATGTCCATTGGCTCTGAGGCTGCTCACAATATGCAGAGTTGAACACCACCAAGGATAAGGCATGTCCAGTTACTCATCTACATACATGATTGCAGGATTACTACCAAATTTGATTTAAGATGAGTAATATTCTTCTATCTGATCCTAGGCATTTATGCACTTTGACTCTCCCGGCATCAGCAAGGCACGAGTGTAGAATCAGCAAAAGAATCTGCAGGCCAGACGTTGGAGCAGACTGTCACTAGTGTAATGAATCCCCTTCTCCTCTTGCACAAGGCAAGTGACCTGTACTACAATTAAGGGAAGTTACTCATCTCATTTTGAAAGGAAAACAATGTTAATTTTCCTCAAAGGAGAAGGATCAGTAGACACATTATAAATGTAAAGTGGCAACATAAAAGTCAAAGAATTACACATTCAGAAATATCTTCTTTCTTTTCATTTGGCATCTACTTGAAGGCCAGGATATGGCAATGACACTGAAAAAAAATACTGTGACAATCAGTACCTTTGTACCATTTCCACATTTCAATACTACTTTGGGACTATCTGATTGCAATGTTCATACAACAGTTGGACACAAACAACTGCACAATTACCCTAATAGTTTCATTTTTATAGGCAGTAGTTTACACAAATAACAAGGCTCTATTGTACATTCTTTATATCCTCAAAACTCTCTGAATTCAAAGGGAATTTGGGGGAGCTAAAGGGTTAGAACCATCACCTATTTCTCTTTTATCTCACATTTTTACCTAAGTATAAACTGAAAAGCCAGCTTTTGTATGCATATATACACATATATGTATATTTTATATAACTATACATATATATGCATATACTGGTGTGTATGCAAATATATACACATGCATATACATATAAAAAGCATATACATGGGTATATATGCGCATACACACACACATTTAATGTCTGGAAGGAAATCAGCTGGGCTAATTTCCCAACTGTTAAGGCAGGTGCGTTACGTTCTGTATATTTACATATACATCTACCTGCATAAAGACATTGCCATTAAATGTACGCACACATCTACATTAGTGCACAAGAACATTATTTGTCTGAATTAGGTTCTGTGTGTGTCTGTATTTGATATATGATGTCAAAGCAATCTCTTATTTAAGAGCTTTGGCCCACAGCAAACAGGAAAAGGGAATGTCAGAGTGTGCTCTAATCCAATTATCAAACCAATGCATATTAAAACAAAAACACCTGAAACAAACCTGAAGCTGCAAACACAACAGGAAAGCAAATGAGATGCTGTAGCAGTAAGCTTAACAAAACAAAGGTTATTCAGAAGTGGCTAAACATAATTGAAGTAATAAAATGTTATTAAGCAAATAGATCTGACCTTGAGACTTTCTTGCTTAGACAAATAGAAAACCTTTGACCTAAGATCTTCTTTGCTTGGCTTATCTTGTTGAATTCCCTTCGCAAATATACCAGTGAGAAGGTTTAGATGGAAAAATAAAAAAAAGTTGTTACAGATAAAGCAGCATTTTTCCAAACTGGCATAGGTTTCACATTGAGGGTCCACAGACCCCTTGAACAGATTGCAGTACTGTAAAATTAGTAGCCTTGTCACATATAGCATAATTTGCTACAGAAGATCCATAAGGCTGTGCTTACCCACACATCGTGTGCACACAGACACACACACATACACACACACAGTGGCTTCCCCAAAATAAAATCAGTTCTTTTTTTGTTCCTGTAGAAAAATCTCTCCTCACTTTTTCCCAAAAGAAACCAAATTCACGCTTTTCTCTTCAGAAAGCTGACGTGGCCAGCAGTCCTGCGCAGCTCCGCTCTCCGGGCGGCTCCGCGGCGTTAGGTCGCGCTGCTGCTGGAGCAGGGGGTGCTCTGCGTGCTGCCGATGCTGTGCGCCGCGCTGCTGTTCTCCGAGGCCGGCGGCGACGTGGGGACCTGCTGCCTTCCGGCCGTCTCCCCTGAGGGAAGGGGAGAGGAGGAGGGCGGGGGGAAGAGGGATGTTCATTATCACAGAAAATAGTTCCTTCCGACTCGTCATCTCCTGGTGGCTTTTATTTCCGTAAAATTCCTATCTTGGGTGACAGATCTAAAGCAGAAGAGTGCTGTATTTTTTACTAGACTTTGTCACCTTGGTGTTGCTATGCTCACAGGGAAAGCAACACTGTTTGCCTCAGCATTTTAAAAAGCAGCTATAGGTAGGGCCTGTCTAGAGAGATACTGTCCATCTTCTGTTGTCAGCTGTCCCTCGAATGGGCCTTGCTACATGACTTGGATTGCTGTTTGTTTTATGGAGAAAGGCCAACAAAATGCAGGGTTTTAACACCAGCTCATGGAGCACCATGTTTACTCCAACTGAGAAGCTGCAGCTGAAGTCAATGTTCTTCTGTCAGCTGGATCCCACATATCCTGAGACGTGACTGGTTTTCTTAGTGTAAAAAAACAAACAAAAAATAACAAAAAATAGACTATCCTGCTAGTTTGACCTGATTTACTCTGTAGGAGGTTCCCGTATAGTCCCACAAGGAGCACTTTAGTTCCACAGTACCACAGTATGTAGCTGCAGCTTTTATAACACATAGAACAATCCTCACCATTTCTTGTTAATTGTTTACTGACAACAAACGAGAAGCTGTTATCTGTATTGTCAAATCAAGCACTCTGAATTTATAATAAAAAAATAGATTTAGGACCCCTGTAAAACCTACGTTTTGTCTGTTTTTTATTTCACATCCCTTCTAGACTTGTCCCTAGACTCCTATGGAAAAGTCTAGCTCCTACTTGCATGTAAGCAAAACGCCATGATATGTATGCCCAAAAGATCACACTGAGGCCAGGCAGGAAAATGTAAATGTGGTATTTTTTTAAGTTTCAGTGCTCAAAACTGTGAATTTAACATTACAAGCTGCTCTGTGAACTAGAGGACTAACTATGGCAGAGAGCAGCAATGCAAAGGAATAAAGAGCAAATGTTTTGCTAGACCGTGGACAGGAATAATTGAGAATAATCAAAGACTGGGATATCTCCTTGTGAGCTTGGGAGGCTTCTGCTTCATGTGTCGCTCCAGGTCGCTGAGAGGCACCACAGAAAGCTATGGGCCTCTTCTTCCTTGCTCAGGATTCACTAAAGCGGCGGTCCAGGAGCGCTGGCTCCAGCAGCAGGTTGGCTGCTGGAAGCGCACGCTGTGCGCGGGGACAGGCCGCTTCCTCCCGCAGGAGCCGCTCCGCCGCACGCGGCCTGCGCACCGAGGCGCCTCCGGAATGTGCGTCGCAGGGAGGAAGCGTGCGTGTAACGCTTCGCATCGCAGGCCAAAGTCAACAGCCTCTCACAGGGCGAAGAAAAGGTACTTCTGCAGGCTGCGAAGCATTCAAAGGCCTGCAGTAAACAAGGGGGTCTGCGGATTTCTCACGGCAGAGGTTGCAAGCACTGTTTGTAATGGAAACTGCTGGCCTCACTGCTGGCTCACACTGCAGCTGCAGCTGCGAGCACATGTAAGGCCCCACATTACATAGCTTTCACCTTACATCTCACTGGTTTAGGAATGAGCAGGAAAGAAGGGATGGGGCAGGACAGAAGAAACACAAATTCGAGCATTCATTGCCAAGAGGCCAACAAGATGTTTAAGGAGACAGAGTCTGGCTCTTGAGCTCAGCCCCACGTTAGCATTCTTCTGTCCTGAGCGATTCTGACTCTGCTTTCCACAAGACAAGAAATAGCTGATCTGCAGATTTCTACTCACATGTGGCAGCTCAGCATGGACCCTCATTTATCTACAAGGAGAATGTGTTTAATTTTCATTGGAAACAGCTTGGTAGCTCATCAGAATAAACTTCATTAAAACAATGTCATGTTACCAGACTGTGAAAGCTTTCCTAAGCCCAGCTCTCCTCGAAGCTGCTCCCGCTTGTGTACAGCAGGACTCCTTCCTTTTGTACTAAACAGGCTGTGACCAGCAAACTCCCTTTCATTAAAACAAAAGCAGCAAATCAACAACAACAAAACCAGAAAGCAACCAAACTGCTAACCCCTGCCCCCAACAAGACTAGGAAAAGCTGTGAGGGCTGGAGCAGAGGAGCTGCAGTTACTGGCGCTCCCTCAGCAGGGCCCCTCAGCAGCCCTGCCAAGAGCACAGGCCTCCGAAGGCAGAGCTGGCCCAGATTCCCCCTCCTAGCTCTTATTACAGTTTCACTGTCACCCATTTTACAAACCACACGATTACACACCGCTTTGCATCAGCCACAGCATATCAATACAATCTGTATATACTCAACCATAAATTCATTTATAAGCTAAACACACATGCTTTTTTTCCTCCCCCTTTAAGGAAAAGCAAAAAGCAAAGCAACAGTAACTCTGCAAGCTGAGCGGCACTGCCGGCTCCTCTTTGCTTTCCTCGCAATGAGTCCTAGGAGGTATCGCCCCGTCAGCTTGGGGTGATGGCCCTTTCCCTCAGTGGCAATCCTCTGATGTAATTTGTCGTCTTCTCCCATGCTCGCCTTTCTAGGATATCATAATGATTTCTGAAGTACCACAGTCAGTTTGTGAAACAAATAAATCTTCACTAGAGAAGAATCCAAATCACAGTTAAATTAGGAGCACAGTTTAGCAATTATATTTGGCCTGGCTGATTTTTACTACATCTTATTTTCTTATCACATAGCTAACCTGTAAAAACACTTTAAATAGAAAAGAATATTCATGAAAAGTGGTGAAGGAAATGTGGAGCAAATTATGACTAGAGAGGCACATTTCCCTCCCCCCCGGCCCCGTCTGCTTTCTTTGTGTAAACAGTTTCATGTATCTAATGCTACTGAACCAGAGCTCCTCAAAATGGACACGTCTCATCTATTGACAGTAAACAAGCTTTTACCCATCTGAATGCGACAACATGCACTTTATTATTCACACTTAGGAAAGCTGCCAGTTGTACTCCCTGTCCAGGAAGTCTGAATGTTTGCTTTTCTATCTCCACTTGCCAAATATAATTGGTTGCTATGTCAGTTTATTTTAAATCAGATCCCATAAAAAGGAGAAGTGGGGGAGGAGAGATGCTTTTAGCTTCACAAATTTCGGGACATTTTATCCTGTTAGGCTGGTACACTGTCTGAAGAAGAAAAGCACTCTTTGAAGACACGGAGGTGACTGAATCCGTGCAACAGTGTTGGGCTTATATGGCTGGGTAAGTTTGCTTGTTAACTAATCAGACTGTATGTGTTCTTTCCTAAACATAGTCAATTGTTCCCATTAAGACAGACATTGCATTTGTAGGTATTTACACAGTTAAAATCTGAAGGGTTTCCCCATCCATGTACAACTGCAAAAGTTTTGCTCATTCTCAAGAGACTCAGGTAAGTCTGGGCCATTGTAGCACATCTCCCTCATTTTCTCTTCTTCTTGGAACCCCTTCACATAGAAATAACACTGCTGTGGAAAGCTCTCCGCCACCTTTCAAGTCCTCTAATTGCAGAAAAGATTTAAATTAGGGAGTTCTGTGCCAGAAATGTAGGCTAATATCCCTCTTAAGTTCTAACAACCACAGCTTCCTCCTCTCTTTCCTCCTACCACCTGTATCTTAGGACACCTGCACTCTGCTTTGGACTGTGTCAGAGATTCTGGAGAATTTTGGTATTCTAGCTGAAAAATCCCTGATTGTTTTCATTATTAAATTCAGCAAAAACCTTACATAGAAAAAAAAATTTAAAACAAAGTAAAACAAACAAAAATCACCCCTCAACAATCCCGGCTCAATTTTTGGAGATAAACTTCTAGTTACTTTGTAGTTCTTCTCTCCTATCAGTTGCTTGGGGTTTTAATGCTAACAACCTATTAAGATGAACAAAGGAGCTCATTCAGCTCAAGTTTTCTCCATGCCAGAGTGAGTCTCCCAAGAGAGGCTTACTGATAACAGTGTATCAGTAAACCTTCTCACTGCTGGCAAAAATAGTGCTCTTTTGCTGTACTGCTTATAGAGCTACAGCAGAAATACCTTACTTTGCATCCCAACGTGACAATGTCCACTGAAAACAGCTTTGTCCATGCTCAAAGGCTTCCTGCAAACTCTTAGCATCATCAAAACACAAATTTAGAAGAAATTCATGTTTTCCAGCTTCTATTCTAAATCATGGATTGGAGACCCAATGACTGTTTCTTAAAACAAAAGCTGAGATTTTGGAGCACAAAATTCAACGAAGAGTGCCTTCACTAACTGCAAAACACAGCCACTCTGAGCATGATATTAATTATCTATGTTTTGCTTTTTATTATTTTAAAATAACCTTCTTCTGACTCTAAAAAGATTTTGTTGCAACTAGACTCTCTTGGTTGCCGCGGCAGTTGTTCTCTAAGAGATTGTCCCTGCCAGAGCCTTCCCTGCTCTGCTGCAAGTTCTGCCTTGTTGATACAAGTTATTATGCATGGAAAAATCGCGTGCACAGGAACACAGGCTGACTTCAAGAATCCTTTGAAAATCTGACCCAGATAATTTTCTTATCTCATCTGTGATTCTCTGACCCAATGAGTTACAGCATTCCCCTCCTCTCTTCTCTTCCCATCTATTACTCTGGCCTTTTTCTTCCCTTATTTTCCTGTCCTTTTCACTATTTGTACATGGTAACTATGGCTGGCGTAGTTCATTACTGTAATTCTTACAATAGAATTGGTATAAGTCCCATTGCTGCTGAAGGATTTATTATAGCAGCTTCCCAGTGTTCTCTTATTATATTTCTTGTCATGTTACAGTATTATATCATGTTGTGATACTATAAAAAGTTTAGCACAGTTGATACTTGACACACAACATATCTACAGATGGTTCTGTATATGAACAGAAATTCAGTATCCATGAACACAGGACCAAACAAATTTAAAAACTATTTACCTTTTCACAGAACCACACAGAATCACAGAATGGTTGAGGTTGGAAGGGACCTCTAGAGATCATCTAGTCCAACCCCCCTGCTCCAGCAGGGACACCTAGAGCACAGGGTGGCATCCAGGCAGGTTTTGAAGATCTCCAGAGAAGGAGACTCCACAACCTCTCTGAGCAGCCTGTTCCAGGGCTCTGTCACCCTCACAGGAAAGAAGTTCTTCTTCATATGGAGGTGGAACTTCCTGTGTTTCAACTTACACCCCTTACCCTTCGTCCTGTCACCAGGCACCACAGAGAAGAGCCTGGCCCCATCCTCCTTACAATCACCCCTCAGGTACTTGAACATGTTTTCTCTTTCTTTTCTTTTTTTTCCCCTCCTCTAATAAAAGCTACCTATTTGGAAATATCATCTCAATTTACACATTTATCCATTAGAACAGCACCTATGCTTCTTCTGTGCTGTTTCAGTAGTATGCGAGGCAGAAGTACACTATTCGTGCCGATTACCACAACCTTCACAGTTTCCACATTTGCTCTGAATTCCAAACAGTCTTTAGACACAGCTGATACATTCAGGAGCATTAAACTGCTTATACAGAGTTGTACAGCCAAATGGAAAGAAGTTTTTTTTTTTTTTTTTTTTTTTTTTTCCATATTAGCATAAGCTCCTAGGCCATAATATTTACAGAAGCTCCGATCTGACAAGGCCAGATTCAGAGTCCTACACAGCTTCCAGGAGGTTATGGAGAGGGAGAGAAATCTGCAGCAGGCTGAGGAGAATTCCAGGGCCTTGGAGCTGCACAGGTTTGGAGTAAATAACCTCACGCTCTCCCCACCTTCCAAAGCCCTTGGCCGGGTCCTGCGAGGTCAGGCATGGGAAGAGCTCAGAGCCTGGTGCGTTACAGGGACTCCGAGATATCCAGAACCCACAGGCAGCTGGGGTCAGATTCTGCACATCAAGGCCCTATCAGCACCCAGTCTCGGTCCTTAAACACACCGCAGATTAGGTGAACAGAAAGCTGCCTAAACTCCCTCTTCTTCCTATTGTTTGTATTTCTGCGAACATAATTTATTATGGAAGAAAAGCTGTTACTGAAAAATTATCTATGCATAAAGTTCGCCCTAACTCAGCCACTGCTGGTTATTCTTTTTTAGCCAACACAAATTATTGTTTGGACGTAATTGAATGGAAATCTACCTTTCATTTTAGACTTCTATCAATTTAGTCTAGCTGTTAAAGAATAGAGGAATAAATAATCAATCTGGGCCATACCATCTATGTAATCAACACATAAGAAATATTTTCAAATGTAGTTATATTGAGAAAATGTCTACATAAATATGGTATCCTCTTAGTCATTTGGCCTATTCCATGGACTTACACTCATTCTGAGTCACATCAACCCACTTGATGTTGAAGTTACATAAAATTAAAGCCTGTGAACCACAGGGGATCCACTAACTCAATTGTCAACTAAATTCCAAGTATGGAGATGTTACTGATAATGCATAAGCCAGAAATACTCTGTTTTACTCTCGGATCCCAGGTGAGATTTCAGGGCTAACATTTAATATTCTTTTAGCAATTTTCTAAATTGGGTTCATAAGGCACTGTATGTCCCTTTAGGGAAGGGGCGTATGTGCATGTGCTGATACATACCATCCGGCTCAAGTCAGGAGTTGCTGGAAAACACCCTAACAAGAACAGAGAGCAAGAGAGGAGGGCAGGACTGCGATCGCTGCTCCTTTTCCTCCCCTCCTTGCAGGATTCAGCCCACGCTGCATCCCCTGCGGCCGGCGCGAGCGCCCCTCACTCACCCGTGTGCGAGTAGATGAACCAGAGCGCGCCGGTGAGCAGCGCGCCGATGACGAACGCCGCGAAGGCGATGCCCACCACCGTGAGGGTGTCCAGCCCGTAGAGCACGGCTGCAAGGGAAATGGGCACCGTGAGGCCCTCGCATTTGCAGTGACAGAGAGGGTTTTACAAAACTTCGCCCTTACGCTTTAATGGAAAGTTGTGTTTTTCTTTTTCTTTAAATTTCATACTTAATTAAGTACCATTTTAAGGAAAAGATTAGTGAATTTGCATGAAGAAAACCAAAGTGAGGCTTTCAGGGAACATTAAGAACTGTTCCACATCACAAAGCAAAACCACAGCTCAGCATACCCAAATCCTGAAAACATGGCAAAAATTAAGCATGTTCAGCTGGCTGCTAATAACTTTCAATTAAACAACCATTTAACTTACAAATATGCTTTAAAAAGGCTAAGATTTTGGGGAAAATATGCTTTTTATTTCTATTTTCTGACACTCAAGCAAACTTTCCCCCACATCTCCTGCAACCTCAGTTGAAATCTAGGTGGAGAACGGAACTGCTGTTCAGAGAGAATTGATGCCAGCAAAAAAGTCAGCGAAAACATAAATAGAAACAATTGTTTTTCACATTTGGCAATGCTTTCATTAACTGAAATTAATTCCAGAACACAAAAATAGAAGCACACAAACACACACGAAACCACTTTCTAGGGGAGAGGCCCTTTACAGTACCATTTGAATGGTAACAGCATCTAGTTTCTGGATGTGTTGTGCTGAATGTTTACTGTCCAAATACAGAAACTTCTGGCTTCTGTGTTTTTTTTTTTTTTCCCTGATTAGAAGGACTTCAAATCACTCCTCCATCAATCATTTAGGAAAAAAAATCTTGCAAAATTATTTTCTAGTTTCAGTATTTTAATGTCTCCCAGTACACAAAATGCCTTAGACCAGTGAATAACATCTTACTGACTAAGCTGGTCAGGAAATGAGCAGATTGGATCTTTTCAGTAGTATCCTAAGCACAACCAACACCCTAACTATAGACGAATAACTAGAAATCTTCCTGCATCCAACTGATATCCCTACGAAGAGGGCACAGCCTAGCAGCTCCTGAGATCCTCAGGGCAATTCCCTTTGCAACAAATGAATTTTCCTGTTAGTTCTTGTAGACAGAAACTAAATGCAAAAGCTAAAAGATATTCCTATACTCATCTTTTTCTTTTTTTTAAGCACAAGACACCAGCCAGAGTCCTTTCCTCTTGGGAGAAAACCTACTGGTGAACAGAGTTGCATGGAGGCAGAAGCATAATTTTTCATTCTTTTTGCTATTTTGAGTGAATTTAGATCCAAGTCCCAAAAATATAGGGAGAGGAGAAGAGGAAACCACCTTCTTTGCATTTTCCCTTCTACTTTCCCCTTGTCTCCATTCACTCTTGGTTTTAATTACAGCTCTTCCTTGTCTTCCTGTTTTCTTACTGCCTTTAGTAACATTTCTTTCCTTTTCTCCCCTATAAAACCAGTTTGTGCTCTTAACCAAGGGGGTGGCATTTGCATTCATGTCGGCTGCAGGAGCACGAGCAGCACCAGACCTGAGCCCTCCAGCACCCCCAGGCAAGCGGCTGCGTTGTAGACAAGGGCAGTAACTGCCTCTGGTTAAAAATACAGTTCACTTTGGGGAAAAAAAAGCAGAAAAGAAAAACCAATGAATCCAAATCAATTCAGAGATCTTATCTGCAGCAAGGTGAGCCACAAATGTTCGTGTCACACAGCTGATGTGGCCTACTGCTTCCAAGGGTGGGAATGAGGCTTAGGGTGAGATACTGGAGATGGCAGTGGTTCCAAAACTCTTGTATTGGGAAGCTTTGGCCTTGACGGACAAAGGGGAAATAACACACACATCTGCAAATTGACTCATTTAAGGCTGAGACTCTCAAAGCCAATATTTTATCATAGCCATGTTTTCCTAAATGTGATTTTCACACACACGAATGATTACAGCCTTTCTCTCTAAATGGGGACATCCCTAGCAGCAGTACAGTCAGAATTCTGCTCTGTGTTAGAGTTTAAAGCACACACTATAATTCAGAAAGTGGAAATATAATTTTCTTCATTAATCTATTAACTTCTAGACAAAAGTTTAAGACTTAAAAGGTTTACTTACGTGGTTGTCTCACATTTGGCTTTAGGATGGATGGATCTGTTTTAAAACAAAGAAACATTTATCAGACAGAGCTGCATATACAGCCTAGATAACACTTGTGCAGCCTTCAGGATCTTATCTAGCAGAAAGACATTATTGTAATTTTTATAGGCCAGCAACTTTAGGGAAACCAGTTTGAATTCAATAACCTGCATCAGCTTATAAAAATTCCATTTATTTACGATTCCATTTGCTTACTCTTCAGAGGAACATACATCTATGTACAGCACAGCTGAGGCCCTGTACGTTTTGCTGGCGGATGTCCCCCCGCTGTGAGCAGGTCTGCCCTGGCTGAGCGAGCAGCTGCGCCGGCTCTCCCGCGCGGCGCCGACCGCCTCGGCGCACGGCTGCCCGGGCACAAGGAGGAGACGCCAGCTTGCTAAACCACCAAAGGTCAAACAATGACCACCGCCTCCAAGGAAAAGTTGGCATTATGATATGATAAATTGCTAAAAGTGTTAGAAGTTAAAAAGCGTTAAGTGTTAAAAAATGAAGAATTTTTCTTTCCATTGCTTTACTGGCTTCATCTTTCTCCAAGATGGCCATCTCAACTAGAAGAGCCAGAGATTCTGCTTCCAAGGACCAAGGACCTGTTTGGAGAGCTGCAGTTTGCTTCCGGATTGCTCAGTAACTTAGGGCTCTCATTTAAATTCCAGCATTATCTGAGCACATTCAGTGCATCACCTGCAAAAGGATTTGATCCCATACTTGCTTTTGTATCTTTAGCAACTGAAAAAATAAGTCTATCTGCTAAGTAAACATAGTAACTGTAAAAATAGTAACTGAAAAGAAATGTATTATTTTTATTTAGAGTATTCTTTTACCAAAGCTATGCTTCTAAAACTTCATGCTCTAAAGTAATTTGAGCAAACAATGAAATTGCTACATTTCAGAACACATATTTCCCAGCATTTAAGTGACTATCTATATGCCTTCCACTGAAGTTATTAAAAAAAAAAAACACTGAAATGCTAGAATGGTGCTTCCATTAAGTTCTACTGCAATAATGGAAGCAAATGATCTGGTAAACTATTACAAATTAGTGGTGGAAGAGGAGCTATTCTCATTTAGATATACAATTCTGATTACAGTCAATGAGAGTCGTAAGCTTGAATAAAGAAGTAGACACCTCTGCAGAGATCGATTTCTTCTGACTTTCAGAATGTTACGCACACAACTTTGAGACCAGAGCCAGCAGGAGTAACTCAAACAATAGGGTTTACAGCAATAGAAGCTGTCCTGTTCATTTGGAAGAAAATGAAGAGCACCACCTCTGTGATGGGAATTCTCCTATTCAGTAATGTCATACAATTTCTCCACCAGATCTTTGGTTCATGCATTGGCTAGCAATGACATTTAGCTTTTAGAAAGGGGCTGTTTGATTCACTGCAGAACCAACTGCACAGCAACTAAGCTACATTGTTAATATGCCATTTTGTATTACGCCTGGAAGCTGGGATATGTTGGGGACATTTCCATCAAACATCCCACAGTTAGACTGAATCACCCACAGTGCAACAAAATGCTCTATTGCCCTGTTGTGTCGTAACTAGTCTTTATAAATTTAGCTCGTCTTTACACACTGAGAGCTTGTGCTTCCCACAAAGACAACATTCTAAGAGAAGTCCGAGTCGGGAGCTGCACACAATGGCCCTCACATCCGAAGGGAAATGGAGCTCAGAGCATAAGTCTGTTTATTGAAGGATGAACTTCAGTTGTAGGATTTACTCATTCCCAACAGAGTAACTACTGAAACAGAGTGGGAGCTTTGCAAAAAGGCAGAGCACAGAATCAGGCCCAAAGCACATTTTTAATTGCACCACATTTACAGATGAAATACTTGCTTTTAATTCTTTGAGGATTTGATCTGTATTAAGCAGAATTTTGTAAAAAACACAGGCCAACTTGCAGAGTTAAACAGAAACAGTTGTCGCTTATGTCCCCTAGCCATGCTGCACAGTACTATCAATCACTTGAAGTCTAAAAAGCATGTGCTGTACAACTGGGCTTACAGAATTTCTGATCCTCCTTCTTTGACACTTTCTGAAAAGCAAGCATTGCGAAGTTTTAAGCAGCCCTTGCACACAACTGGATGATTCTGATGTCCATGTAAAGCCCCTGAAAGGTTCTAATTAAGCTGCCATGCTTTACCTAAGAAAGCCTTTTCTGTGTAAGGGGCACTGGAGGCCGCCCCCTGCTTCCATCTGCAGCTTGTCAAGCCCTCCAGCCTGGCCCCACCAACGGCAGCACCGTGGCAGGTCACCAACACAAAGCTCAACAGCTCCGAAACCACCCTCAGAAAGAACACAGAGCTACAGAGCAAAGCAACCTGTTGCTGAGCTACTGAGGCCCAAGCTCAGAGGAGCTCCTCATTCCTAGTTACACTCTTAACTCCCACAGTATTCTCTGGAAAATTAGGAACCTAAAGAGAAAACAGGGCAGAGATACTTAGACCCCTGTCTTAAATGGGTTGGTGATCTTTGTCACAGGAACAAGGAGTTCAAGCCAGTGGTGTCTTTTTTTTCTTAAGCTTTCAACACATGTTGGTAACACTTCAGAGCCTTTTAAAGTCCAGGTTCTAAGGTTTCCTATTTTTAATAGTTACAGCAACAACTAGATAAAAAAAAAATATTCATCAGAAACATTAGAAGATGAAAGCTTCACTCCCTCTGAAACAGATGCAGATAAGAGGTATTCAAAAGTCACTACATAAATAAATGCAGCTAAAGCAAAGCTAAAAGGAAAGTTGTATAATACCTCAAAGGTTTACATAAACTCTTAAAGCTATTGAAAAGACAACCAATGCAAGAATAACTGCAAACTAAAACAACAAACAAGCAAATAAACAAAAACCACAGAAACCCCCTCACACATACTAGAATGGTCAAGAGAGATCCCTATCTCAGTCTGTTTCTCCTTGCTCTTTCTTTGACCTCGTATCTTGCCAAATCGTTACATTTTTCCTTTTCCATCCTTCCCTTCTCTCTCGGGGTAAGGGAGGCTGTGAACCCCAGCCTTGGCTTGCTCGGATGCCATCCCAGCAGGAGCAGGGGGTGCCGTGGAGGGTCCTGGAAGCGAAGGCAGCCTCGGCCCTCGGCACAGTCACACACGGGCAGTAGGTAACGCGCCCCTCTCGTCCTGCCACCTAAGGAACACCTACAGGCTTCCACAAAGCTGCTCTCAATTCTTTTTCTTGAAGATCACATAACCAAACAAGCCTCACCAACATGGAGATAAGATACCTTTCCACCTCTCATCTTTTTTTCTTAATGTTCTGATAAACTAACAGGTTGCTTACCACTGCAGGAAGATATGATACAGCAGGGAGTAGAGCACTGCATTCCATCTTTGAACAGTAATACATTGCTGAAACCTCTACTGCTATATTCATACTCATCAAACTCATATTCTTGGGCAGTGTGGTGTTTCTTTCCTGATGCTTAGGCAAAACCCACTTTTTCAGAGGTCAATAAAGAAGATTAAGACGACAGCAATCAACCACCACAATGATTACTGTCAGGGAAAAGTCTAAATAACATCTTACAAACACCCTAAGATTATGCAATTGCACATACTTGGAACACTCTTTTTTTAGCTCGTTTCAAGGGGCTGCATGTTATATGACATAATATGTATAACTTAGAATGCATTTTCATACCTTCTTGTTTTACTTCATACGTTACTACAGCGAGGGGTTTGGTGAAAGTTTTCTTGTTATGCATCATGGCCAAGATCATATCCACATTGAGCGAGGTGCAAGCTTCATCAGGAGGAATGCACTGCAGGTGGAAGAAACTGTGTGTGAGGGCAGAGATTCACTCAAAATATCTACAGTGTCTGCAGAAGCAGCACTAAATATTGCTTAGAAAAGAGAGGGGAGAATTGAATATTATCAGATCCTCCAAATAATCCCTGTGAAATATACTGGCAAAGGTAATTCTCAGCTGTGCTTCAGGACACAAACACTGCTGTCATTAAGAGTTGTCTAACTTTTGTAAGTGTGTTACTATTAAATTCAAGACATATTAATTATTTTAGGATAATAAAAACGATGCCATTTTAAAAAAAATCAGGTGGCCAATACTACAGCTACCAATAAATGTGTTGTTCAATAATGACAAATCATCCTGAAAAACTACATTTCAAGGGTTATGTGCATAAGTTGCCAAAAGTAAAAAGAAGTCTTAGAATAAATTCTTTGACAAAGAATTTACAGATATTCCAACTAGTTATGAAACCAAATTAGGCAACTGTCTCTTGTAACAATCAGATACAAAACATGAACTCTAGATGTATAACAGCACTTCTGAACAGTGAATTTCCTGTAAGAGCCCACAAGACACATGGTGCTTAAACAGAGCAAACGAATGCAAACCTTTACTTATTTTTATCTAAATTCTACTGAGATGGGTTAATCTCACAATTCCTAAAAGAAGGATCAAAAACAACTGCAAAACTGCCACTCAGGAGCCCTTTGAAAGTCAAAGCTAACATTGTTTGTGCTAATGGTACATGATATGAACAGCAGAGAAAAGCCTGAATCACTTGCATAATTAAAATGGGATTTCTATTTATCCCATGCAGCCTCATGAAAATGCCTTGCAGTCAAACTGTACTGTAACTCTCGGCTTTTAAAATCATGAGCCTAAGATGCTCATTACAGAAGTCTCAACAGAAGAACTAATACCTGAAATTGTTCACTCAACTGAAATTTCAGATTAAAAAAGAAAATCTAAATCAGAAGTTTATGCAGGAATAAATTACTGACCTTAGGCAATCCTTGAGTATCTTTGTCTTTATTTGTACACAAAGTCAGCTCGCAGTGAAGAAAGAGTAGGGAGATGTTGAATATTGGTTTAAACACAAAGCTAAACCTTTTTTTGTCCTTCTGTGCATGTGGTATTGGAAAGTTCACCTTCTCGATGCTGTAGAATTTAACAGATTCATCTTTTGGACAAATATTTTCTATAATAGTGTAATCAGACATTCGATCCGGATTTGAAAATGGGGAAACAAAGCATGTTTGAATGGCAAAGCCCAAGGATCTGTCAGCTTTAGTCACAGAAACCTGCATCAAAAAGAAAAAGGTGGTAAGATCTCAGAAATTACATCTTAAAACACTGCTTTCACGAACACTTGCAACAACTATTAAGATGTTTTCCAGTTCCACTTCCAACCAAAACTATTTTGAAGGCTGAATATTCAGGGTCAACTGTTAAACTGAAAGTCAGAAAATACACGGCTTCAAAAGTTACTGCTTAACAGTATAACCATGCATATACACAGTCATCTCTTATCTTTTCAAAAACAGATGAAAAATCCCATACGGATCTGTAATATTTAGTAAAAGGATGCTACTACTGCCTGAGGAGTCTGGGGAAGAGGACAGTCTGGCTTCCCTTGTAAACATACAGCTTATAGCAGAACACTACAAAAGTTACTAGTTACTAAGCCTTTGCATCTGCTTCAAGCTTTATTTCAGGGAAGAGAAAATAAAGAAAAAACAAAAAAGGAAAAGAAACAGACAACAAAAACCCACCCCCAGCCAAGAAAGGAATGCAGAGGCAGAGCCGAGGTCATGGTCTGATGTGTGGGTGGCACTCCTGGACTGGGAGGAGAAGGCAGACTACTGAAAAACTGTAATTTTTTTGTGCAATGATCCTTTTAGTTTATTACAAGCCTGAAACTCGTATACTTTTATGAAAAGCAACTATGGCCACAAACTTCCAGGGCACTGAGACTTTTCAGCTGGAGTAGAGACAAGGGCCCTCGAGTAACCAGGAAAAAATGAAACAGAATTTGTAACAAATGAAGCATGTCCCTCTTAAGAGGCAACAGGAGTTTTTGCCCAACCACTAACAGTGCATGATAAAAATAGAAATAATTTTCCTAGCAAAGATATGCCTTAAATATGTACCTAGTCCATATGTACTGCATGGATGTTTAATGAAGAGTCTGTCAAATTTTCCTGTGGTCTACAAAGACCTTTTTGGATGCTATGAGTTGTGCAAAGAGTACCAGCATTTCTCTTTTTTCCTCCTAATGAAGCAGTAACCAAACAAGAGACAAAAATGATAGTCTGAAGCATTTAAGCCAAGACAGACCATCTTCTAAAAACACAGAAATAGAGAGTAATGAATGAAGATCAAGCTGTGGATATTGACAGACAAGCAGGTTGATGGTGTAAATTAGCTACGGAAAGGAGATTATGGTCATGAATTATGGCCCAAGAAGTTTATTGATTGTAAAAAGTAAATGTTTTTATATGTTTTAAATGTTTTAAAGCAAAACAAACAAAAACACAATATATCCTTTGTGTCAGTTAAAGATGGTATCACAGAAGTCTAGATCTGAGAAAAATTTTCCACTGTGCAAGAATTAAAAACAGAGGGGGGAAAAAAAAGAAAAACTTGTGCCAGGACAGGTGATGAAGAAATTAGAACATCTGTCTGAAAAAACAGCTTCAGCACCAGACAATCCAGGGGGCTTGGAGCCAGAGGGATTCATCCCAGAATGCTGAAGGAAGTAGCAGATTTTGTCCAAATGAAAAAATCATGTGTCTTTTATAAACATATTCTTACTGATTGTGAAATACTTCATTTTTGCTTCGACTTTACTAAGTAAACAGCACTGACTTTTAGGTAGAAGACAGACAGGCAACTGAACGTTTACTGAACACAAAATATACTACCAGCAACTAAAAGTCACATTTAAATACTGTTCCCAATCTACTTGCTGTGGCAAGAGTGCCAAAAATACGTAATCTCTCTAGAAAGACCTTCACTGGATACAGATTTCTTTTTAGCTCCAAGAGTACTATATGGACAAAGTTCCTGTGATCTCTCATTATTTAGCTAGTATTTCAGTCACAAAAAGGAAAATGAACAAAAAACCCAAAGATGTAGACTTTCACTGTCTGCCTGCTATCTAAGAGCTCTGAAATAAACACAATATATTTTTTTTAAAGGCAGGAAGCAGGAGCACAGCTCCAGTGAAAGATACCATAACAGGACAGCATTGTGGGCATGGTAGCAGGAGAGTAAAATATGGGGCTAGGAGATTCCTCTTCTCTGAGCTCCCATCAGACAAGTATCTTGGCACTGTAGAATATTACAGAGTCTCCGAGAAACTCATTCAAAAATTACTGTGTATGGTGAGTTCTCCAGATCAACCTTTATTGTCTTTGTGCAGAGAAACAGAAACCTTTGCACTGAACAAAATATGAGAGAGCCATAATACACTGAAACACTGAAAAAGCTGCCGCAGTATCAAACGAGGCGCTGTCCTTAACCTGCGTAATGCAGGCTCACAAAAAGAAACCAGCCTGGGCAGGAGAAACACAACCCAGCACTGTTTGAAGGACAGTACACCCGTTTGTCTGCCTTGCCACCAGCTGCATTAGCTTTGTGACCTGGGAACACCAGCATATAAGAGGAAGATGCTTGTAATTGCTTCTTGCATCTCTGTATCTTTCAAATGTGGTTCAGCTGTATTTCTAAAAACAAACAAACCCCACATATGCCTTGCAAAATGCTTTCACTGATTTGAAAGCCATTTGCAGTTATTTACCTCTACATATATTGGCCCATTCTCAGCAACAGAGAAGAGTTCTTGGGATGGAGCAAGAAACAGATCTGTTTTGTACAGCTCCATGTTGAAGGTCACATTGGTGACGTGTCGTTCAGGAGGCCAGAGCATGGAAGGATTTAAAAAGGCTCTATCGTTCTCCAGCTGGTGCAGTGTGCAATTAAACTGAAATAACAAAACGATACAAATACATTCGGAGTCAGGAATAGCAGGTAGCTGGATAAGGACAAATTTGGAGCAAATAATACAGGTGCACTCATACTCCATCTACTTTGTACAACTCTTCAACGGGGTCACAAGGAATATAAGCAAAAATCAAATTAATTAATAAATAATTTAATTTCTATAATAAGTGTATTACAACAGGTATTTCTCTGCTGTCAGGTGCAAAACCAAGAGTAACATACCGCAATTTCAGGCCAGCTTGAGAAAGCAACATCTCCTTCATCGGCATCCCCTGGAAATCCATTATCACCTGACTCCATGTCATCGTCATCGGAGCCGCTGCTTTCCACTGGTGATGACAGCTGAATGACAATCTGCACAAGAGGTATCGCACACACACACAATTAGGTGCTAACTGAGCAGTCTCTTTCCAGTTATCATCATCTTTCTTCAGAAAAATGCAAAGGCCTAAAGGGAGTCAACTAACCAGGTGGGAAAAGCATGTCTTAAACAGCCCTGGGTTGAGCAGTCAAGATATGTGTGCAGGTTAGGCTTGCAGCACACCCTGTTGTCTATTTCCAGATGTCAGACCCAGTAAAGCCATAAAAATGCTCCACACAGTGCAAAGGCAGTCTGGGTGTTGCCATCAAAACGAGCACCAGGCAGTCTCACTCCATTTCTGCTATTTTGCTAACCAACACTGCTAAGAAATGACTTTCTGAAGTGTTTTTTCCACACTTTATAGCTTTAGTTGACTCTCTCAAGTACAATCATTATAAGTTTTAGGATCAAAAATTTTTCTCCCTCTCCCCAATCAAGTGCTGAAAGACATCCTACAAGTTATGGGCTTTGATATGGGTCTCTTTCTAAAGTCAGGTGCTACAGACTTGCCAGTATGGAAGAGCTTTACACAGGCAGGTTCGGATCAGATTGCCTAAGCTGTGTTTGGGTTGGACTATAGACTATTCTTCATTTGCCAAGTTACTTGGATGTGCTGAAAAGCCCAGCAAGAGAAACATGTCATTGCTTCCTAATGCAGCTTAGCCACAATGTATTCAAGTTCACAAACAGGGCCAGTCTGGAGGCAGCCTCTTGGATCTTACTTCATTGCATCATCCCTTGCATTGCAAGACCTCAGAGGCCCTTCCCCACATATATCAGCTGACAGCAAATACAAAGTACAAAACAGAAGCATGTAGAGATAACGCCTTTTCCTCACATTTTTGAGAGCCTTTTCCATCCCTAGTAGGAAAAAAAAAACCTGAAATAATTCAGCACATGAATTAAATCACATTGCTCTGTGCAATCTTGACTCTCTGTTCCTGTCCCACCTTTCAGCCACATAGTTCTGCTTAGAGGCGGATACAGCGATGCTGCCTAGGGCAAGCTGGGCAACTTCTCTTAGAATGGTTCTGCCAGTCCCAAAGTTTTGTAAAACTGTACAACCCACCTCCTCCTGCTTTCTTTGGCACACTATCCAACCATAGCAGCACACTGAAGGTGCAACCTTTACATATTCTTGAACACAGGGACTTTAGTAGCAACTAAGCTTGAGCTAGACAAGAAAAAGATCAAGATACCTCCTTTTTGGTAAGACCATTGCCAAATACAATGGCTTCCTTGTACCACTATAATGTGCAGTAGAAGATAAAGGATGCTCTTTGTAAAATACTCACAGAGTTAAAATAAACAATCTTGTCCAAGATATATGCTGTTCGAGTCCCACATTTGTTCGGCAAAGATTCCAAAATGAAATGGGTACCATTCATCCTGGCCTTGCAAGAGTGATCCAGCAGTGAGAGCTCTGTCCTTGTGTAGCCATTAGCCTGAAACAAAAACGCTTTGTAAGCGGCCGGGACCTCAGCTCAAGCACAATTGTGACAGACTATTGTGCGAAGGGCAACTTGGAACACTGTTTGTGACTACGGGTAAGAGGAAGTGAAGTTCATTGTACTGAGATTTAGGCAAGGTCAATCCCAAAATGCACAGAACAGAGGGATAAATGTAACATGGAACACAGAAACAACAGGATCATTATTAGTCTACTGACATAAGCTTTGCTTCATCTAAAATGAACTAAAAAAGCTCTACTCTGTATCAAGCTCTCTTCCACAACACAAATGGCAACAAGCATTTCACAGCTGGTAGATAATGAAGGCGAAGAAGAAAATACCACATAATGGATGAAGAGAACCACAGCATTTCACCCTCTAACCTTCAGTTCCCTTAGCTGTCTCTTCACAGATTTATTCAGGTCTTGCACAGCTATCAAAAGCAGGGACTTTAGAGATTAAAAATTCACACTGATGGTTGAATAGAGTAGTTTTTGACAGAACTAACCCTGTAAACCTTTTATGAGAAATAACTCTACAAACCGTGAAGAGGGAAAATGACCCAGAACTCTGGCTAGTGATTGGGGGTGGGAGGGTGGGGTGAGCTGGCTGTAAATCTTAGAATATTAATTTTCCACTCAAAATACATTTTAAATGTTTTATCAAATCCTACTATGAGATCACACCAACCTGCAGGGAGTCTTTCTCTACAGCTACTGTCATTACTTTGTCATCACACTTTATGGATAGAGCTACATTAGCACTACCCTGAACCTCTTCAGGTTCTTTATGCTTTGGAAGTGAATGCACAAAGTCACGGTTTATTAACGTGTCTGCTGAATCTCTGGATGGGAAGATTCCTTCTCCCACTGTGCCATGTCTTCCTCTGTTAATGTGAAAAGGAAAAGCCAGGCCATCACTTAATGCAGGATTCTTTGGGGCAGGCAGTGGGCTAGCATCCAACAATTCTGTCAGCTCTGGAGGAAGGGAATGGACTTCTTCATCATTCATCTCTTCTAAAAACGGGGGGAAAAAAAAGAGTATTATATTATTAGATCCTTTTTCAACGCTGTTTGAAACAGGAACATTTCCCATCTCAATATTATCCAGAAGGCAAGTTCTTGAAGGACATCAAAAGCAGCATATTTGTACTTTCTGGGTAACACTTTCCAGGTAACCAGGCGCATTTCCTGCACTAAGAGTGTAGCTGTTACTGAGGCAGCTAACCTTGGCATATTTATTTCCTGCAACAAAACTGTATCACTAAGAACTGAAAACCAGCCTTGAAGAGTGGGTCCTATACAAACAAAAAGGCAGCCAGAAAGCTAAAAGAAATATCACAACCAACAAAAGGACCATTTTAGTGCTGCTGAGATAGCACAACTTCTACTACCTGCCAGCGCAAGCTCAGGCAACTCCACTATTGTGGAAGTATTTACAAGACTGGAGTGAAGTTACCATCAGAATTAACTGCACGCTGAGTAATTGTACTTATTCCCTGACTTATAAACAGTACTGCTCAGTATTGAAATCTTAACCTCTGGCTCAAGCAGATATTTATCTGCAATCCACAAGGGCACAACTGATAAAGTGAACATGATTACAAGCTTTGTCAAAACAGCTAAACAATGTTCTCCATGCTCCGTGCTCTGAATTAGTGCAGAGATGCAACTCCTCTGGCTTCAACATATCAGGACATCTTTACATCAGCAATGACTTTGGCCAAATTATTTTTTTATGGTTGTATTTATCCCATTTGCTCAAACTTTTCTGGTGAGGCATTTTCATCTGTAAACAATTTAAATGTTTATTTAATTGAATTAAGGAAACACTGTGTTCATATTTTTGAAAGCCAAAGCTGGATTTATTAACTAACAAAATATCCTTTAATTCCAGGGAATACTGAGTACGGTTGGCTAAAATGGCTTCTGAGTTGGACAAAGTATAACTGTCCGTTCCCCAGCATTTGACAAACAAATAACACAATTTGCTTGAAATCTTCTAACCAAAAAGCCACAGATATTTTTGGTAACTGGGGGCATCAGTACCCTTGATACTGAACAATGAAAGTAACACAGTCATAAAGGACAAAACCTGAGAACTGACGTTTATAGATGTTTTTTGTATATGTTTTTAAGTCTACCTTCAAACTTACCTGTATCTTCAAGTTGCAGATGGAAACGATTAGCAACAGGGGCTTTTGTGTAGGAAGTAACCGGGCTATAGTTATGCTCATAGGCCCACTTGATCAAACTCTCATGTGATGAGGGAATATCAGGTATTATTGATTTACTCATAGTCATGGATCGTTCTGTTTCTTTTCCAAAACCAATACTATTTGATGTCTGCAAACAAAGGAGAAAAAAAAATGGTTCATGACTTACCATTTAAGGATATTTAAAATGGAGCAGTGGTACTGATTGCTCATGGTTTGCTGACAAATTTTGCTCTGCTAATAACAGCAGGCAGATCATCTGGGAAATAAACTCTGTCACCTCGGACACAGAACTGCTGCTCACATGCAGAAAACCATGGCCCTTCTCTTCCCCCTCCCTCCAGCCTCCAACAGGCCCAGGCTCTACTGCAGTAAAATAAACCAAAGCAGCCAGAAACTGTCAGTTCCTACAAGAGACAAAGAAATATTTATGGCCGTGTCTGTAATGCCATATCTTAATTTAAAAGCTGTGCACTGAAGTGAATTCTGAGTTCCAACACAACTGATTTTTCAAATGTCCTCCCTCATTTATTTGGCCAGGTTAGGGTATAACTTTAATTACATCTGGTGAAACCTTTGGACAAATCAGTACTACTGAAAAGGGTGGCAGGACCCAATTCATGAAGTGGAGCTGATTCCAGTTAAGGCTTTAAAATCAGCTGGAACTGAGGTTACTCTGCACGCTGCTCAGTGGGCTGAGACTGTAAGTATTGTGTGTGTCCTGCAAAATATTCAACACGCTAAACAGTACTATAGTAAATACTACATACAGTGATAAGGGAGAGTTCTCAACTTTTGCCAAACTTAACTACTTAAAAGACAATACATATTTTCTACACATTGAAATTAAACTTAATGAGCTATGCTACTTTACTCACATACACTGATACAAACACACAAAAATACACTTGCCATCTTCTAAGCTTTATTTTTAAATAATTATGCACTATTGCTCATCAAAAAGCAGCCATGAAATACGGACAAGTCAGTTAACTTTCATTTTACTATGAATTTTGCAAAATTACTATTTTTGTTATCCAAACTGCAAGCCAAAAGGTTACTCTGAACATCTCTAGCTGTTAGAGGGAGAGACACAGAATATTCACTGGTGTTATACCATGTTTTAAATATTTAGCATCTTCAAGGCTAAACATGTGAATTTATACATCACCATCTCAATATCTCTGATCACTAAAGCAAGCACTTTCACAGCTACAGAACAAGCTGGACATTCTCAGCTCAGGAAAGGGCACAACGACGCATTTTTCAATGGTTCCTGCAACAGGACTGACTTGTACTTTCTGCCTCTGGATTGTACTGCTTCACACTGCACAACAAACACTTTTGTTTCCATGCCTGGTTATCTTCTCCTTGCATTCTTTATTTTCTTAATCTCTGTTGGTTTCCCTCAAAGTTATCAAATCTTAATCCTCTCCTGCTGTAGAATTTTAAAAGATTTACAGCACCGATCCCCTTTTTCCCAGTTCATTTTTGCAGATTGGTTATATGGGCCTTCTACACAAGGTCAAAAAGTAAGGTTGCATTTTTGTACTTGCTTCAGAAATGCTGCTTTGAACAAAGAAATGAACAAAGCTCCTAGCAGGCCTGATGAAATGGAATAATTTACCTCTTTCTCCCCCTTTCTTTCCCTCCCTCATTTTTTCCTGATGATCCTGTCCCACGTTCACTGAACATCCAAAGCTTTAGAATTGGAGTTAATGGGAATTTTAAGTGGAGGTTGCCTAGTGTGTGGGGACTGTTATTACTACTGTCACCAATGTCCAACAAAGGTCTTTGACGATAAGAAAAAGGAAGCAGTAGGTGTTCCAGTTACACTGCCTTACTACAGTTTGGAGTCAGACAATCTTTTATTTTTCACTGGATACAAATCTGAACGTGATTTATCACACATTTTCCAACTACCATGGACTGGTTGGAATTATCAGGCAGGCCCAGTTTTGCTGGGTTTCCCCCTCTGCTTTCCCCTTTTTTTGTTTTGGTGTGTGAAGATGAGACAGCTGAACAAATATTAACCCAGATTTTTACTGTCCTAGCTGGCACCAGACCATTTCTGGGGCTTATTTAATACTTCTTCACTCACAGTGACCCCGTGGTGTTCATTCCTGCACTGCTCAGCAAAACAAAACCCATCATTGGGGCCTGCAAGGGCAGGAAACCTTCCTGCACTTGCCTGCACTGTCAGCACCTTCCTAGGTGCCTGCCTGTATGGACACAGGCAGCAGAGACATCCACCCAACCCTTCTGAATGAAGGGAGAAAACCTCAGCAATTAGCTGGGTTTCTCATTCAGAGAATGGTCCTTTCAGGTCTCCAAGCTTTTAAAACCTTTGAAGATCTCTTCATCTGTACGTTCCACCTCCCCTATTCTTTTTTCCCCCCTCAAAGTACTTTTCTTTGAGATAAATGGAAGCTGCAATGAGGAGCCAAAGAGAGCCTAGCAGAAAAGCTTTATGCACATATTTTTGGTGAATTTGGATCTGTGTGCACTTCAGTCGTGTATTATCTTGCCTTAACTTTACACATTTTACTGGGTGTGGGGTCCATCTTTTTCGAAGTTTCAGGAACCAACTCAAGCTAGGAGATGAGCTGGATGACCTGGCAGGTCTTTTCCATTTCTAATCTATGAACCTGGACCTCCAGAAGTCGCAGTCCCGTCTCCGAGGCAGCTTGGCATTAACCTTCCCCTCTCGCTTTCCCAGTGCCCTCAGGACAACCGGGATCCATACAGAGGGCAAGAAGTTAGGGAAACTGAAGCGCATGGAACGGACTCAATGAGCCAAAGGAACATTGTGAAACATTACCTAAGTGCTTAGTAATTTTTTTATGTATTGTCTAAAAGTGGGCTTGGAAAGGCCTTCAGCTCAAGACAGTGACACGGTAATATTTAGTCCCCTCTCCTCCCCCAAAATAAAGCAGATCAGACACACATGCAGAAACTGAGGCACCTAACAAGAACGAAGCAGTAGGGGAAAATCCTCACCACAAATCCTACAATAAATAAAGCTTTTTCACATACTGACATTTCCAATTACAGTAACACTTCTCTTTTTGTTAAAACTAAATAACATGCTATCTAATACCACCCATTAGAGAAAGAACAAAATTTAACAGGTTTTTACTTCTACTCTCAATCATTATTATAGGAAAACTTTTAAATAAACATAATGGTCTTGCTTTGTACACTCAACATAAGTACAGCACTTGAGATATTTTTAAATCTTCTAGCATTTCTCTCTCTGAAATTCATCAGACATAGACAGCTAGCTGCATGGATATGAAATACAGCTCCTCAAATAGCTAGAAGCATGAAGTAAGTTAATGCACTATTCTCTAGTCTGCAAAAGCAGACCCACACAGTACTGGCTATGAGGCCTAAATACACACCAGCAAACTTTATGTAATAACCCAGAAGGAAGCTATGAAGTCAGACGATTTTCTTTACCTTTCTCCTTACCAATTTGCTAATCCTATCTTACTACCAACCTTGAGTTTTCTCAAGGCTCAATTACTTAGAGCTAGAGAATGAACAGAATGTCCCTTCCCATCCGTAAGAGCAAGATGGGTCAGGGAATTTCATCATCAGCTCAAATAATCATCACCTTCTAGTCCATTTTCTGAGCAGTACCATAACTTATTTCCTTCTAAATCCTTCACTTCAAGTCCTCAAGCCTTGCCTATCACTTTGTTCTCTTGGACCATGTGGGTTGAGGAGCCAGTGAACCCTGTCAGAAGCGGGAAGATGTAGGTTGAGCAGCCAGTGAATCCTGTCGGAATTGCCTTTGCGCGCAGGAAGCACAGAAGCCAATTCCGCAAAGTGCAATGCAGACACTTGGGGCTGTTTATCCCTGGGCAGTCCTGAGCAAACACGAAGCTCAACTGTCCAACCCTCCCTAATCAGACAGAAACATACCACACATCCACAGACAGGCTGTGAGATTAATTTCTTTTTTTTTGGTTAGAGAAAAGGAATACTATCTATATTTTGTCAGTAGAAATGGTGTTGAGCCACAGAAATTGTGCCAAAAAATCATTCTGAATTGGAACTTCCATATATACCTGAGTATGATGGCAAAAGTATAACTTTAGGGACCTGGTTTTAATCTTTTTAGAGCCTATCATTTGCGGTTTGAGCACAGGTGAGGTCAAGCTGACCAAACACTTACAGGAGACAGAAATACTGGTAAGAGAGAGCGCCAGAGGTTACAATAATCACAAGTGGAAGAAGCAGACAGTTTCCACTTCTAAAGGGATGTGGGTGGATGCCTTGTATCTAGGATTATCCGTTCCTCAGTCATGGGCATCTTTCCAGCTGCTGTGCTGAGCCTGCAGATGCACCAGCGAAGGGAGATGGACACCCAAGTCAATGCTTAGGGTGCATCTGCAGGACAAGCGAAACAAGATACATACACTAAACACCTGGCTTCTGAGATGAGCTGGTCAGTTTAACAGCCCACATATTATAAGAAAGGGAAAACCAAAACATATTGTTTCTGTGTTTACTGCTTGAAATGCAGTAAGAATTCAGAAAAAGCACCTAATAGAGAAAACATTCAAGAAATCGATATGGTAGATTGTCATAACACATTCAAACAGATGATACACTGTTCACAGCATGGTACCTCACACACACACAGAAAGGGTGCCTTTACTTACAATCACTTCCAGCTTTCCTTGGATGTCATGCGATTTGATAACCCAATTGACAGACTTTTTACACTTGAGCACGAGTACGATGTCTCTGACAAGCTTGGCGCCTGGTTGAGATGGTTTAATGTCAACGATTATATCCACCTGGAAAGCACTGTATGTGGAAAAATAGAGAGAGAGTAAGACCAGAATGCCAGAAATTTTCAGCTATCAACCTTCTTCCAATCCATCGTGCTTCCAGCGTCTGGCCAGCTGATTAAAATTTTGGAGGTTATCCCAGACAACACAACATGTGCAAAACAGATTGTTATTTCACATATGCTTAAATAATTTTACATAACAATAGAAACAAATACTTTAAAAAACAAATAATTATTTGATTTTTTTTGGTCTCTTACTTACAAAAAGTATACTACTCATTTCAGCTATTATTTAGAGCAGGTTAGTTGACTTTATACAGTAAATACTGTTTTCTTTCCTTGGTGTAGGAGTGTCTAAATATAATTGCATCAATCTCCCCTCAGCGAAACTGCATGAAAAGTCAAAATCATAGTTAAAAAAAGGGCAAAACAAAGTAAACCATTTTAACAATAAAAAAGCAAAAATACTGTCAGGGAAAGCTCTTCACTGTTAAGCTGTGGAAATTATTTTGCTTAGGCTCTTGCATGTGTTGAGAATTACTATATGGTCGCATTTAGTTTCCGATACTTCTGGATATATACTTATTTTAAAAAGAAGAGAAAACAGATGTCCAGCCTACTGATTGCTGGAAAATTGATTAACATCCAGATTTTCAAGACCTCAGTAAAATAAGTAGAGCAAATGGATCTGTACCCATCAATAATAGCTCCTCATGCAAACTATTAATTTAACAGAAAAAAAATCTCAACTTCCAGATAATCTTAGTGGACTGTATGTCATAAGAGGAATGTGTTCATCCCCAAATAACACATTTCATCTAATATTTCGCACTGCTATTTGGTATCTAGGAATCTTTACTTTTTTCCCCTGCAGTTACATACATGCCCAACTTAGCTCCCATATGTTTCTACGCATATATAAACTCTGTAAAGATAGCTATGGATAGTGTATATACTGAGGAATGATGAAAGCCAAAGTTTAAATACTTGTAATTCTAAGTTTTACCAATCAACCTTTTAATTTTTTTGCAGTGTGACCCTCTGAAAAGGAAATTCTTGCTGCGCATTTGCAGCCAAAGCCCAGAGGGCAACGAGGCAGAGGCTGCTGCTGCGTTGAGGGGCTCTCAGTGAGACCGGTGCAGAAAGGCAGCTCTGTTTAGGATGGGGTAGTTACTCATACCACACGGAGGCAAATTATTCAGACTCACCTGCTTGCCTCCCACCACATCTCTGCATTTCCTTACTCTCCCAATGCTGCTATGCGAGGGAGTCTTTTAGGAATTTTGCAGTGAGACAGTTATCCTTGCAAAACCCCATTCCTTATTTCTTTATCACAAAGGGACAAGTGTCTCAGTCGCACAGCAAGTGTCTCTCCAGCAGCAATACTGCATGCCTATGAAGAGCTTTTACCAGCAGGATTTTCTGAAGCAAACCCCACTCTTATGCTGCCACTAGGATGTAGGAGAGAGAGGCCAAGGATGAGTGTGTTAAATGACTTACCTCTCAGGTTCACAGAGACTCTATCTAACCCTAAACCTGTTCAGGGAGTTAAATGCTTTTCCCTAACCACTGGTTTCTAAACTTTTTTTGTCAGTGGACCACTGCCATCCCTGAGCTTTTCTTACAGATTATCCTTAAACTCAATCGAAAACTTTACAGAAAATACTGTCAACTGTGATTCTGCATTGTAACGGTGGACACTGAATGGACCTTCAGCATCTGCCAGGGGTCACCTGTGACCCATGGACCACCCTGCTCTAGGCCTTGCTGCCAGCCATAGCTATCTGTGACAGGGCCCAGACTACCTCAGTCTCTCTCGCCTCCTCCAACAGTGGATGCATCTTAAATCCTCTAGATCTGATTTTGGGATTCTTCATATTTCCTAGTTCATATTATTCTTGGAGAAATCTAATTGGCCTAAGCAGGATATCTGCCCACAAAACGGGGTCAGGGTCTTGCCCAGAAAAACTAACCCTGGAATCCCAAAGCAGAATCCAAAAACCTTTACACACTGAAGAACTACTTTCTATTTGAGGTAAAGTACTAAAGCACATATACAGACAACATAAATAAGCATATACAGACAGCTTTAACCTACTGGTGGATACTCTACCTGTATGGATTCGAATTTGGAGTGATTAATTCAATGATATGAACTTCTCTTTCTTGGACTAAGTTAGACATATGGCACCCTTCTGCTGTCTTTGGTTGTAGGTATCCCGCAAGATAATTTAAAGAGAGAAAGTTCTTTTCTATGTTGCATGATGGAGGAAAAACTTGATCTGGAAAAAATAAAGAAAATAGTATATGCACCTTTACACATACACATCTATTTACATGGGTGTATGCACAGCATTTGCTTAAATGTAGCACTGTTTTTATGACACAGATCTTCAGGCTAAAAGGTTTATCTGTTATCCACCACACGAAGTTGTGATAAATTAACACAATATTGAAAGCGAAATCCTTGTTGAAACACTAAGCACATCTCTGAAGACAGACACTTATAATCTGAATAATTTCTATTCATGAATTTGAACACTGAAAGAAAATTGGAAAAAACATATAAAAAAAATCTCAAAATAGTATTGAAATAAAATACATAAACAGTTTTCAGAAGGAATACATTTATTTTTTGCATCTGTAAGAAAAGATTTTTCTTTTGAAATTATCTCAGAAAACAAAAGGAGATATGATCAACTTCTCCTTCCTTTAGAAAATATTGCATTTTTATTATAAGTTTGACATATGGAAATGTTAAAAAAATAGAAATGTTAGAAATGTATAGAGATGTTAAAAATACAGAAAGCATTTTCCATTTCCTTACTCAATACCCTTTATTTTGTGTAGTCAGTCAGTGCTGTCTAGAAATACTGCAGTTTTCTTGCATACAGAAAATTGAATATATCACAAAAAGAATGAAGTAAGTTTTTGATATTAAGGCTGATCGTAATACCCATAACTAGAATGAGAAAAACACAGTGTAGATATTAAATCTACATTTTGTTTTTAATTGCCTAGCTGATCATGAACATTTTTGAGTATACAATGCAGAGCAGAAAAACAGTCACTTGGTACGAAGTTCTCATGCACACCCTGTAAAGTTGCACACCTTTCCATTGGAAAAACAGGAATACTTTGTATTTCTGAGGTGACTATGCATATGAATTAAGATGATAAATGGAAGGACTGTGCCTTGTTCAAAGCCACATAAAGCTTGAGAGGAAGAGATCTAGAATCCCCAAGTCTCCTCTGAGCTTTGTTTTGACCACAAAACCTTTCCTACTACAGGCAGCAGCAAGGCAGAAAGCCATCCAACGCCATCCAATGTGATGTATGCAAAAATGCAGATGATCGCTTAATAGTTGAGACCACTTTTAGCATTTGCTAAGATGAAGTGGAAGTGTCATTTGTGAATGACACTTTATGAAGACAACTTTACGAAGAGACCAGACACTCCTGCGACCCTGGTAGCAGTGAAAACAATCCTGAGAGCTTATTCTCCTCATCTTTCACAAAATAGTCCTTCAATACTAACCTCACGTTCTTCTCCAGAGACTCTGTGAAAGCTGTACGAGGCTGTAATAGCCACGCTGCCCAGAGAAGCCCTCCCCTAACATCTGATCTGCACCCTGCCAGATCAGCCTTGAACACAGACCCACCAGCTCCACCCACCCCAGCAAAGGATGGAAAATGTTCGCTAATGATCTATGCTAAACTTAAATTTACAAAGGTATACACACTTACATACACAAAAAGACAGTAGGTACTTAATTCTCAGCTGCAGTGCTGCAGAACATGTCATGCAATAAAATAAGAGCCTCTGAGTAGTTTGTGGGTAATTACCACACGTACTCTCATTAACCACCGCCACGAGCTCGATTCCTGCTCTTGGCATCTTCACTGGACCCTTTGCAAGCCCCAAAGCACCAGGGCCTGCGCCCAACAGCTCACGTTGGCTCTGCAGCGCACTGCGCCGCTGCACGCCACCCTGCATGTTTACCCCCACAGAAGTTCCAGTTATACCAAGACCCTGACTTCCACAGAAACTGAAAGGGGACCCATCTCCTTCTCTGGCCACTACACTTTCTTCTTCTTCTTCTTTTTAAGCTGTTTTCAGAGCTATTTACTTACTCTGGAAAGAGGCTTCAAGTGCCTGCAAGCAATTAGAAAGCTCATTAAAGCAGTCAGCAAATGGTCAGCTTGCGGACCCTACAATCCCCTCTCATCTCCCAGCACTACCAGCATGGAATCCGACAGGAGGAATGCTTGGAACGGCGGCAGATCAGGGGCTCTGCCGGGGCCAGGCGCATGTCCTGGCACACGGTGCCCAGTCGGCACCCAGGGAGGGCGGCAGAGCCGTTGGCAGCGGCGTCTCCCTTCGGGGCTGGCTGGGTGCTGAGCCGTGGCTGCGTTTCGCATGCCGGGACCCAGAGCCTTTGCGGGCCTCTGGAAGATGAGGACAGACACAGTCTGCGCCGCTCTGCACAAATTAGGTGTTGTCCACAGGTTCTTGGCTGAGATGGATTCAGTTGAGTATCCCAGCTCAAAATCGTTGGATTTTTGAGAAAATCAGAGCCATTAATCAGGCGTCACCCTCCAAGACAGACGCCCTTGGCAGCAGCAAGTGACGGCAGCAATAAAAATCCCATGCACGGGGAGCCCAACTTTCTCCGCTGAGCTGGGGATGAGCGAGGCAGCAGGGCTCTCCTCTCAGGTGGCTATGGTTTTCCCCCAGTGCATTTTAAAGGTTATTGGCTGTTAGTATTAACATCAAAACCTAAGCTTTAAAATGGCACTAGAGGAAACCTAGTGGCAGGTAGTCCTATGAGAAAAGCTGCAGTGATCCATGGGCATTGGGAAGCACAAAGCCCTTTGGGTACTCGCCTGGGCCAGAGAGGTGGCACCTAAGAGCCACAGCGTGGCACAAAGCAGCAACCTGCAGCTTTCAGCCAAGCGTCTGCTGTGCAGAGCAGAACACGTGCGGCCTTGGCGCGTACAGGGCACCGAGCCAGGGCTACAGCTTTACCTTCTCCCAGGACAGGAGCACAGCGTTACCATTTCTAAACAAATTATATGTGGAATATTCTTGGCACTTTGGGATGCTATTTTTCAGCCTAGCTACTACGGTTAAATAGTTTTTGTTTTTTTAAATTTACTTCAGAAATGTGCTGAAACTAAGCTCTCTCCAGGCTACCAAATCTGCCCTGTATTTAGTCTGGTGGTGCCAGAAGTTTTAGAAGTAAAGAAGTTTAGAAAAACAAAAAGTTCAGGTAACATTCAGCTAACTGATAATGTGAACATCACCGTTCAAATCTGCATCAGTCACATAACAAGCCACTACTCCATGTGGCCACCAACTGCACAATGAGGAAACCTATGGTGGTGGGTAGTATTACCTGTGAGTGTGGAAGCTGAGGGTACCCAACTAAGGCAGCGAGCAGTGTGATATTCGTATCAAAAGCCTGAGTGTCCATCAGCACATGCTGTGTCTTGCGAAATTTAGCGGCCACGTTGCTCACTCTGCAGCGATGTAGGTCTAGTCTGTCTCCCATGTGTTTTTCGTAGAACTCATGTACAACTGTTGCAGCTCAAGAACTGACCCTCTCCCCACCCCTCAACACCCGCATAATCCCCACACATTCATTCTTCTGCCAAGAATTTAAATCAAAATCAAATATGGTTACAGTTCAGCTAGTTTGTAGAAGCTTTCTTAGAAACTGTCTATTTTGGTTGCTTGCCAAGTTCCATTTTGTGTGCTTACTCTTAACTAAATTGTGTTTTACCTCACTAAGGATGATGCAAAGCTCTCAGATATTTAACTGCTTAGTTTGACGGTATACGTGCAAATCAACAAACAAAAATTTGATCTGTTTTTTTAATATATCCAATTAAATGTTAGTCTCCATGATATAGAGACCACTACTCCCATGCATATGTTCCAAGAGCACTTTAATAAGCTAATAAATATATTTCTGAATGATCTTCTGGCACTAAAATGCAAGACTGGTGCCAAGTAGAACAAAAATCACAGAGGGGAATCCTGCATGAATTTAGCAGATTCTGGATAAAACCAAAACAGGTATGTTCTGATTCTTGGGGGCAAGCCTCATACTTCAGGAAATCAAATGATCACATACAGGTGGTTAGGAAAGAGTTTTCTCCACAGAAGGCTTTTTTGGGTAACTTTTTCAGCTATTCAGGGCTTCTTTAGAAATAGTGCTGAAGCTCTACTAATGAAAAAAGACTGCTGAGCCCACCAGCACTTCCCCACACTTGTTAGAAATAGTTTGAAGATAGTTTGAATTGAAAAAAGTAGTGTACTCCTCTCAAATGGAATGATTTGCTCCAAGAATGTAATGCCTTCATCTAGAAAAGCTATTGTCCTTTACCTGCAGTTCAAGCACAGCTTCCTTGCAGAAACTGCTACATGACCAGCTGAGGGAAAGCAAGAGCCAGAAAGGGCTGCAGAGGCTCCTGCTCACTCAGCTGCACAGCCAGCACAGCCCTACCCTAACGCGGGCCTGTGAGATCCCTCAGGAGCTGCCGTCATCTCCCACCTGCAACCAGAGCTTCCCCTGCTTTCAGCGTGGCATTTATCCCGTGGCTCGTAGCCACCTGAGGGACTTGGCATCCAGCTCCCAGGCTGGAAATCTTGCTTCCTTACACTGAAAATTCATAGGAATATTAGACTGTGGCTACTACAGTGAGGAAGATGATTCTTTGCTCAAAGTAGTCTGGAGGCTTGTACCAGGAAATATTGGGGGGCAAAAACATAACTCAGGTCTTTTTGGGCCTCAGCCTTTACAAGGAGCCGCCTAGCCCATCACTGTGACCAATTCAGTCATTTTAGAATTTGCATAATATGACTTTGGTAAGATTTTGGCCAATGATTCTGCATCCAAGTTTATGAGCTTAAAATTAGGGCCCCAGAATCCACTGAAAGCTGCTTAAATCCAAGCTCTAGTCATTAGACTTGCTTTTTCCCTGCCTCTCCCTTTTATATCACATCACTTGGAACTTGAGAGTTATGTTTAATGATTAAAACACAGAATGTGAAATGCTACTCTAACAAGGCTTATTCTCACCATCTAGAACTGTTAAACAATTCTGTTAATTTTTTACCTTCTCCTACTTTGATATAGACGTTTCTTGATATTTTGAGTTCAGTGAAAGATGTGACTGCTCCATACTCCTTTTGGGCCCACTGCAGCAGATGTTCATTTTTCTCAGGAAAAAGTTTTTCTTCTGTTTCTGCTGACAAGGAGAAATTCCCTTTCTCAAACTGAACAATGGAACCTAAAGATACCTGAAGAGAATAAAACATATTTTTAGTGCGATACATTTTCCTGCATAGACAGGTAGAACATTTAAGAACAATGTAACCTATCACACCAAAATGCATTCACTGAAGATAACTACAGTCTATTTGCCATTACTGCCTAAATTTTGTATATTTTAACATCAATATAGTGATTCCTTTTTAAAAAAATGTGTTTTTTTTAAGCAACTGTTTTAAATAGCATAAGGTTTCCAGCCAATCAGTGTAGATGGGGTACACATGGCAGCTGACTAAAACAGGGTTCTAAGCCTCTAAGACAACAGGAGGAAGTAAGAATAGCATGGATCAAATAGTTCACAGAATGGTGAATATGATAAATATGATGGGAGGTAACCAGCTGCCACATTCAGCATGCTGCTTTCTGAGGTAAAAGCATAGTAGAGCACCTCAAGGGGGAAAAAAAATAAAGTGTATTAGGTCTTGCACAAGGCACCAAGAGGATATACAAGCGTTCATAAATGTTGCTGCAATGCCAAGGCTTTCTATTAATTAGGGCTACTTCATTCTTTGACGGGACAAAAGTATATTTTTTCTTGAACTAAAAATCCCAAACTACTAACAATGATGTTAATCAGACCTGTGAAAAAATACACCGTAGTATTTTCTAAATATTATTTAGACATTTTATAATAGAATAATAGTCTTAAGTATCTAACATTTTAAAGAACAAAATATACCAAGAGGAATTAAATAACAGGGATTATCTGCAGTCAAGCTCCAATTACATAAAATTAACTAAAAACAACCAACAATTACCTCTCCTGGGACTTTGAGTTAATAGCACTATGTCAGAATGCTCTGTATCAGTTTGTTTAGGATACACAAACATTTGTCAAAGTAGACATATAAATTATATCAATGGCATACAGAGTGAATTTCAACAGTTCTTACTCATGCTGCCAGCTATTATATAACACACACATCACACACTCTCCTCTAAGAGGAGACCCATATAATTCAGAGTTCCATATGACCAGACCTGTCACAGAAAATGGCTTAGGAATTCTTTATGCTTTTGCCAGAACTTTCCAAAGTTTCAAGTAACATTTGTTTCAATCCTGAAGGATCACAATCTTCCTTGTTTTTATTTATTTATTTTTTATTAAATGACTGCAGGAAAATATTTCCTTTAACTGGAGAGAAAACAAAAAAACACCACAAAACTTTATTTAACGTAACACTTCAGCCCACTTCTCAAATAAGGAAGCAAACTCTGCGTGCTTAGAGGGGGCGATACGGTGTGACACCACTGCGCTGTATCGAACACACATCTTGCAGCCGTGGCTGGGATTTTCAGAGATGCTCACTGTGGTATTTCCCTAAGGAAAATTCACTCCCCTCAGCATGAGTACTAGGAAAAGGCGGCCACGTCAGTATTTTTAAATAGTACTACTTAGCATGAAGTATTCTCCTTGTAATCCCACTACTTATATATAGTTATGTAACAATTTTATGGGGCACCTCTGTAATGCAGGGAGATGAAGAGCCCATGGATACAGCCCAGCCAGGCCACGCGCAGGGCCCGCTCAGCTGCTCTGTCCGCCTGAGCTGCTACATGGGACATCTTTGTACAGCCCCGGCGTAACCAAGAAAATCTGTGCAGAAAGGTTGCAGGATTTAAGGATTTAATCAATTATTTTGCAAGGATATTCAATACACTCTGTCATCCCACTCTCAGTAACCAAAACTTCTTAACAACTTCAAAAATGCCACACACTGTGTTTGAGAACTACAGCAATCGATGTCCACGTACAAGGTTTCATAACATCCCTGGTATCTTTTTTATGGCCACTAACAGAGAGCAAACTAAGTGCTGGTGTAACCCTTTAGGACATTCGAGGGAAACACGAGAGAAGAGCCGTAATCCTCCTGAACCCTGGCATAAAAAACGCCAGGGGACAATAATGCATTTGTACTGTACTTTCTACTTGGTACGAGAGATAGCACTTAATAGAAATTTAACTTTCTTCCTCAGAATACACTTGTTTTTCCATGTGTTATTAAAACATAAAATTCTGCGCTGCTCTGGGGTACGACAACCAGGTCCTGCCTGTGAAGCCTCGAGGCTCCTGAGCCGCAGCAGGAGAAGGGCACGGGCAGAGCGTGGGGCAACGCAGAGCCCGGCGCCAGCAGCCGCACTCGCTGACACTACAGTCAGCCAGTTAAGCACCTTCAAATAAACACCAGGCTTATCTGTTTTTGTTATTTCTTCTCTCTCTTCTAAATCACACACTGCACCCTGTATTTGCAATGCCGGTTCCACAATACATTTCAGAAAGGATCCGCTGCGCCTGCCAGGGCATGGATTTTTACTACAAGGACCTAAGGCAAGGCTAAGTGAGCCAAGCACGTTATTTTTTCTGGAAGGCATTCAACTGGCTCTTCCAAAAAAGGCAACCAGCACTTTGTTTCAACACCTGCCTTGAACATTAACTACTTACTCTTCAGAACAAACCCAAAGCAGCTCTTTCACTGAAGTACTTTGGGATGCCAGAGCACTTGAACTAAGGAATGTTTTATATGTGCAGGAATATACCTACACCTTTTCTCAAGCCTCACACAGCCTGCCGACTGATGAGGAAACTGCTGCCACATTCACTCTTATCTTCTCCCTTAATCTCCTTCAACCGCTGCTTTCAGAAGCTGTCAAGTGGAAAAAGTGCCCCAGCTCTGTTTCTTCCTGTTGTTGTGAGGACACTCAGAATGACTGCACAGGTGGCAGCGGTGGTGCTCACCCCACGCCCCGTCACGCGTCACGGGTCGCTGAGGAGCCCCCAAGCAATACCACATGCTTGCGGGCCCAGAAGACACTGGCCAGGGACACTAACTGTAGCAAGAAACGCAGCTCAAAAGGCTGCACGTGTCAATACAGTGTTTTGAAAACATGCTGTTGAGGAACCAAGCATTCCTCCGAAGAACAAAACGTGCTCAGCAACGTACTGTGATAATGCACACGACCAGCCGGGTAAAGCCCGCTGACCACTGCAGGAAATGGGGATGGTAGTTTTCTTTGCACTGTGCGTTGACAAGAAAACATAATGAAAAGGCCGTTATAGCTCTATTAAGAAAACTTTCAAGCATACAGGAATTGTCACTGCAACGTTACTGTGATAGTTAAGGACATGAGTTACCCGACAGATGAGAGCCAAACTACATAGGTTACTATTTCTCAGGAAGAAGGCCTCAGAACCAACCACTGGGGTCTCCAATATATACACTGGTGTCCCTCAACATGGCACACCACTGAAAATAACCCTTCTGCTTCCTGTTTTACCCGTCTTCTCTCCTTTACAATATTTTTTTTGAATGGACTCCTCAACATATTACTTTACCTCATGACATTTTAACTGTTTAATGCAGTTATCACTCAGAACACTGAGATAAGAAACAACTTCCATTTCTTAACCTCGATAAAGAGGTTGGCACCTGCAGGAGGTGACTCAGTACTAGGGTGAAGCACCCGCAGCTCCCCGGGGTGAATCACCCTCCCACCACAGCACCAGCTCCATCACTACCCACCGGGGCCCCTTCAGCACCAATAACAGCAGCAAGCCAAGACAGAGGCACTAAATGAGCAGAAAAGCAGCTTTCGTTGATTTTTTTACCTGAGCTGTACAGTATCAGACCTGCAACAGAAATTTTAAGAGGGGAGTAAATCCAAGTAAAATACAGGAACTCAAAACAGCTTTCCGAAAAGCCCATGAAGACTATTACGATTCAGCTAGTGTTTTTGATAATAAACACTAATTGGCTCTGGTCTCTTTAAGATGAAAGGTAAAAAATATGAAACAGAGAAATATTACACACCCTGAATCTCAAAGTATCTTCTTGGTTGTTCATAAATCTGCACAAAGTGCAATCGCCAAGAGAACAATTCTGTTTGGTAGATGGTTAAGAAATACACTGCTTTTGAAATTAGATACAACATAAATGTGCCACAAATCTGTGAATCATCTAAGCATTTTGCATAGCCCTTACCAGCCACAGAGATCAGATATTTTCATGTAGTCAAGTTTTTCATTTTCAGTTTAGTGTTCATTTTTCATTTTCAGTTTAGTGTTCTCAAGACCATTAACAGTTATCCCAAGATTCCACTTCTCATGTTTTTGAAAACAGAGGTTACAAAAAACCAACAGTTCTTAACTGCAGATTTTAATTTAACTGCCTAGGAGATGGCAAGTTCTCCAACTACTGAAGATCTTGATAGGAATTAACACTGCTCTACACTTTCTGAGGATGAGGGCACTGTTTTGTGGATCACTTACACAAGTGGATTTTCATGTGTATAAGAAAAAGATCCTGGGGTTTTCCATTGAAGTCCATGACAGCATTGCAAAGCATGGGCTGCCTTCAGAACTCCTGTGAGGCAGTTGCTCAAATGACCAAAAATCCATGTGGAGGGAAACTCTCTCCCCAAATTCAGGGCTGTTGGCAGCAGTTTATCTGTATTAATCACACACAGCTACCTGTCCACTCTCCCCTTATTCTCCCCTTATTATTCTACCATAATCTTAACGGAATCAGTATAATGCATTCAGTTAACATGAACAAAATAAATCAGCAGCAGAAGCCTTTTTCAGTGACTCTCTTCCAGGTTTGATTTAATTTAGTAGGAAGATGAGAAGGGGAGAATTAAAGCCTATCTAGGCAATCGCAGCTCGAGTTTCCACTGGAATCGATGACTCAGTAACACAACCTGTTGTGATTTATTGCCTCCACGTCACTAGCGCCAGCCGCCTGCCAAAGCTGGCTTCTGTAAACTTCCACACGCGAAACCCCAGCTGCCAGGAGCGGCGGAGACGGCAAGGAGCCCTGAGCGGAGAGGCAAGAGGAGGCTACCGCAGACAACCGCTTCAGGCCCTTCGGGCTACTGCAAAATGGCGCTGGCAACAAGTTTCACCCTCCTCATTTCTTTCTGAACTCTCGCAACTTGGGCCAGCGTGAAACCCCCGAGGAGCAGCAGTGCC